ATCCTGACATTGACCAACAACACCCTTGCCCAACCCCTGAGAGAGCCTTCCACTAATAACCCCCCTCACGGTGAGAGATAGAAAAGCAGGCACCTTCACAACTCTGGATATCCCCCGGAACGAGAGTTCTCCATACACCATCAAGCAGCCCGCAACGTCTCTCAGATCTCACCTGGTCCCCATGCCACATATGTCCCTTCTTCCATCCCTTCTTCCTGGGGGGGGGGCACTGCTGCCCCCATGAAAAATGCCGCCCTAGGCAAATGCCTTGTTTGCCTTGTGGTAAATATGCCCCTGCAGACAACAATTACAATATGACATGTCGTAAGTCCTCTTCACTACCAAAAAAAGTTTGTGACAACTATTCCATTTTAAAGGCCACCCAGCAACATGAGAGAGAGTTAGAATGTGTAGGTATGATCCAAATGCCCTCAGGTTTTGTCTATCGGCCAACAGCTGCCTAAAACATGGGTGCTCACTGGGGCTGAGCATGCATGTTCATGCTGTACACAGAGAAGGGAGAGCTGTTACCAGACATCACTTAATAGGACTATGTCAAAATGCTGGATTCCGAATTTATTGGTTAAATTGGAGAATGCCAGGCATTAGCTGATCAGAGCCTAACATACAAACAGTAAAAATTCATCATTTGAGTTCCCGAGAAACACAGCCATGGTTTGATCAGCTCATACCCAGCTTCCCGTCATAATGCAATATTTCTGTGTTTCGGTGTTATATGTTGTTTTATCACAGCTGTTGGAAAAATGTTGATTTTTTTTTTCTAGCAGCTGAAACCTGATGAATTTTTTATCGTAAACAAATTTGTGAAAACAATTATGACGTTATAAAGATTTCAGGCACTAGCCTCATTAGAATTAAAATTGATACTAGTAGAAAAGCCTGCTTGTGGAGAATTTTCAAATTGCATGTTGGTATAATAGGATATTAGTATTAATTTCATTGTAGAGCAATGCTAAAATAATTTAAAAGGATCGTCTGATTAATTCATTTTAAATACCTTTTGTGGGGTTTCATGTATTAGAAATACCCACATTGTTTTGTTTTTCTGCCTAGCTTGAGAGACTAGCAAAAGTTGCTGTTATTTTTCTCTGTGCTATTTGTCTTAAGAAGCAATTGCAACTTAATCCATGAATTACCCTTCACATGGTGCAAAGAGCAGAATTCCTTTTTGATGATAGGCTCTCTCAACTGGCAAGGGATTTCAAATGGGCATGGGGTTCTATATGGAGCAGTCTAATGTATTATGGTTATCAGGAAAAAGCTTGTCCTCAACAAAAAAACAAGGGAAATATGCATTAAAACTCAAATGACTAATAAGACTTGGACACATGTTGAGCCTTATTTGGTAAACCTTAACAGGCAATGTTTTGATGTTTTTTTTGTACTAAAAAAGCTGGAGGCTGGATAAATGGGGCATTAGCTATAAAGGGCATACTGGGCTGAATACCTGTCAAACCCCGATCAACAAACCTCAGATCTGCCAATCCATGCTCACACACTGATCTCCTCTGTATCACCACTTTGGCAGTCACTAAATAGAGTGACGTAATTTCGACACTCCCTTTTACTACTTAATTTATTTGACCTCAGTTCTCCCTGTACTGCTTCTCTAACTCATCTCAATTGGCCCTCATATTGCATTTCTTGTCCACCTCATCTTTTCCCTCACCTCCAGTGTTTTCCTGTATAGTCCTCTCCTGGCATTCTTTCCCACTTATTACTGCACTTGTCATCTTTCTCCAGCACCCTTCTGTACTGTCCCCCCCCCCCCCCCCCCCCACCCCCCCCCCCCCCCGCCCCCCCCCCCACCCCCCCCCCCCCCCCCCCCCCCCCCCCCCCCCCATCACCTATATAGAATCCCCTGTGCAGCTCCTTTCATACACCTCCAGTACTGCTTGTCTTGTTTACAGTGATTATTTTCTCAGAGAATAGGTGCAGAAAGTCCCCCCTTGTCTTTGTCCCCTATGAGCACCATCCTTTTGGTTCCACCACCTACCCACCAGCCATTACCACCTTTTTTAGTGAATACAGAACCAAGTATCATTTTGCTGTGTTAAGTAATATATATGAAATTTGCTAATGATAACATAAAAAGCAGTAAAATTGATTCACTACTTCCAGCAACAAAAGCACCCACAGCGCAATATACCCACTCCAGCAACAAAAGACCCCCACCAGCAACAATAGATCCCCCAGCAACCAACAACAATTGACCCTTTAGCAACAATAGACCCTCCCTCATCAAGAAATACCCCCACACAGCAACAATAGATCCCCCAGCATTCCTTGCTATTTCATACATTCAGTGTGGAAAGTGCTGAAACTGCGTTCCCCCGCATTCCCACTGAAAAAAAGCCCTGCATGTTTACCTCCAGCAACTACCTACCCCTCTATACTGCTCCTCTTGTCTGCCATCCTTCCTCTTTCCCTGTACTGCTTATGCCCCTAACATCCTCCTGTTCTGAAACCTCTGCAGCAGCACTTATGCTTGATTGTAGTAATAATTTGCGTTTTATTGAGGGTGCCAAGCTGTTACCATGGACCTATAACAGTATATGTTACTTTGTTTTCGTTTTCTTCTTGTTATTAGCTATATACTAAATATGGTGTTGTGGCATATACAATGCAGCAAGTGTATTTGTACTTATTCTTTATTTGTAATAATTTAGGAAGATACATCTTTACTTACTTGCTCTTTGTACTGTAAAGGCACTCTGCACTTTAGCAAAGGTAAATCATTGTACACAGGAAAGCTTTCCATCTGTAGGAAACTTTGTACATTAAAAATGTATCTAGCACAACCCATACTGCACATTTTTTCAACTATACCCTGACCTGTGCCTGTACTGAGTACTATTTATACAGCTTGTAAGCAGGTGGAAGTAACGTGTTATATTCTGGTAGATTTCTGTATTATTTTTAAGTTTATGTTTGAGAATTAAAGTATTATTAAAGGTTTTGTAAAGACCAGCCCTGATCCTCCTCTTCTTGGGTCCCCCGTCGGCACTCCTGGCCGCTCCCTCCTGCCTAGTGCTCCCATAGCAAGCAGCTTGCTATGGGGCACCCAAGCAGGCTCGCTCCAGAGCCGCTGCTCTATGTATCCATTCACACACGGAGCATGGCTCGGCCCTGCCCCACTCTCTCCTTATTGGCTGTAATTGACAGTAGTGGGAGCCAATGGTTAGCCATGAGGAGGGAGAGGGTTTCATGTACATTGCTGGATCAAATTGGGGCTCAAATAAGTTTGCGGGGGGGGGGGGGGCTGCTGCACAGAGGAGGTTTTTTTACCTTCATGCATAGAATGCATGAAGGTCAAAAACTTGAGCCTTCACAACCATTTTACCTTGTGTAGTGTTATTAAAGTGTATTATACTATTTGATGTATTGCCCTGCCAAGGTGGTACTCCCTTAGAGGTAAGGGTTAACACTGCTGCCCAGGTTTTCCCAGGCTTTTTGGGGAAGTACCGACCTCTGCTGGAGCAAACACTTAAAAAGTGAGGCACCAAGCTTTTGGGGTGCTGCTGTTAATAAGTCAGCTGGAGGTACAGTTCCATGTTACCCCATCCAAAGAACAAGTACCCTGCTAAGGATGCTATCCACTACTTGCACTTAACCACCCCTTGTGGCAACCCAGTTGGGGATCCAGAGGTATGGACTGGATGTTTTTGACTTAAGGACTCTAAAGGACTTTCTGACCTATTTATGGTATAATTACCTAATGGGGCAGAAGCAGCTGGAGAATAATTAGGGGGCACTTAAAAAAATGTGTACAGGAATATGTGATGGAAACATTTATGTTGAACTGTTCATTTGCTACATTTAAATAACTTCAGTAAAGAATGTTGTTGTTACACACATATTTGCTTGATCTGAAGTCACTTTAGCACAATCTTAAAGGTGTGCATTCATGCTTGGCATATCACAGAACAGAGTTAACACCCAGGGGCAAAAAGAGATAAGGAAGATGCAATACATATGTCTAACGTTCAGTGAAGCTATTCAGAGGCTAGATTGCTGTTGCCAATGATTGCTAGTTGCCAATGACTACAGTGGGAACTGGTGTCTAGGTGAAGGAAGGCATAAGCAACCAGCCAGTTGACTCGGAAGCAGTGGTGGCTTGGCATAGGTGAAGGAAGGCCCTGGTAGTGAAGGAGCTTGTGTGCTTAGGCTCCTTCCCTGACAACAGGAACCCCAGTACTGTGTCGACTCGCGCATAGGGCATCCTAGGGAATTTGAGCGGTGGTGGCTTGGCATAGGTGAAGGAAGGCCCTGGTAGTGAAGGAGCTTGTGTGCTTAGGCTCCTTCCCTAGCAACCGGAACCCCAATACTGTGTCCGACTTGCGCATAAGGCATCCTGGGGAGTTTGAGCGGTGGTGGCTTGGCATAGGTGAAGGAAGGCCCTGGTAGGGAAGAAGCTTGTGTGCTTAGGCTCCTTCCCTAGCAACCGGAACCCCAATACTATGTCCGACTCGCGCATAAGGCATCCTAGGGAGTTTGAGTTTCTTAGTATTTAAGGGTAATATACGAATCAATGTCACTGGGATGAGGCGACTGGTTCCTAGGCTGTTGGAGTCCGATGCAAGCTCTGCAGCTCAGAAATGCTGCACACAAGAGAGAAGAATTATGAAGTGTAATTAGGAACTGTTGTCCGTAATGTACAATGTAAAGTGTCACAGAAGATGGGCCATGGATTACAAAGTGTTAACAGATGTCTGTATGGAGAAGAGTCGCTTTTAAGATGGAGTGCTGCCTTATATGCCATTTGTGTTTAGTAACAGCCTCAGCCGGACTATGCGGGCACTAGCAACAGGGCCATCTTTAACATGGGGCAGCTGCCCTGGGCCCAGTCATTTTTGTGGGGCCCAAAGCAGCTGCCCCTTAAGCCTGTGCTACCCGCGAATTGGGGCCCTGATGATTTCACTGCAGAGTGCACAGAGTACACCGGAGACTGTATTCCCCAGCCAGCAGGGAGGGGGTGGGGACAGGTCTGGAACCTCCACTGACCCCGCCCATGCAGCCTGTATGCTCAAGAGGGAGCTGCTGTAATAGAAGCTGTGATGTGAGTGGGAGCCCCGCCCCCGGAGCTCAGAGAGGATGCTGAGCATGGCTGTCCAGGTATGTCTTTCCCCCCATAGACTGCCTGTGGACTGTTATACCAACCCTGAGCTGTTTTTCACAAACTGTACATCTGTGCATTGCTGAAAGAACTCTGTTCATCCCCTGTACATGTCTGCCCGCCGGTACTATGTGTCTGCAGTCTCTGGTCATCGCCTGTACTATGTCTGCAGTCTCTGGTCATCTCCGTACTATGTCCGCAGTCTCTGGTCATCTCCTGTACTGTGTCTGCAGTCTCTGGTCATCTCCTGTACTGTGTCTGCAGTCTCTGGTCATCTCCTGTACTGTGTCCGCAGTCTCTGGTCATCTCCTGTACTGTGTCTGCAGTCTCTGGTCATCTCCTGTACTATGTCCGCAGTCTCTGGTCATCTCCTGTACTGTGTCTGCAGTCTCTGGTCATCTCCTGTACTATGTCTGCAGTCTCTGGTCATCTCCTGTACTATGTCTGCTGTCTCTGGTCATCTCCTGTACTATGTCTGCAGTCTCTGGTCATCTCCTGTACTATGTCTGCTGTCTCTGGTCATCTCCTGTACTATGTCTGCTGTCTCTGGTCATCTCCTGTACTATGTCTGCAGTCTCTGGTCATCTTCTGTAATATGTCAGCTGTCTCTGGTCATCTCCTGTACTATGTCAACAGCTTCTGATCAGATCATCTGCTGTAGTAAATCTGTAGTCTCTGGTTATCTCCTGTAGTACATCTGCAGTCTCTTGTCATCTCCTGTAGTATGTCCGCAGTCTCTGGTCATCTCCTGAAGTATGTCTGCAGTCTCTGGTCATCTTCTATAGTACATCCACAGTTTCTGATCATCTCCTGTAGTACATCTGCAGTCTCTGGCCATCTCTTGTAGTATATCTACAGCCTCTGGCCATCTCCTGTAGTATATCCGCAGTCTGAATATCTCCTGTAGTACATCCGCAGTCTCTGGTCATCTGTTGTAGGACGCCTGCAATCTCTGGTCATCTCCTGTAGTACATCCACAGTCTCTGGTCATCTCCTGTAGTATATCTGCAGTCTCTGGTCATCTCCTGTAGTATGTCTGCAGTCTCTGATCATCTACTGTAGTATATCCACAGTTACATAGGTAGCCTGGCTGAAAAAAAACAAAAGTCCATCTAGTTCAACCATAGAAAAAAAAAAGTTATAATCCTATACCCACAGTTGATCAAAGGAAGGCAAAAAAAACCAGAAAAGCACAATCCAGTTTGCTCCTGATGGGTAAAAGATTCCTTCCTGATCCCCCGAGAGGCAATCGGATATTCCCTGGATCAACTTTGCCTATAAATGTTAGTATCCAATTATACTCTGTGTGTCTAAGAAAGAATCCAGGACTTTTTTGAAGCAATCCACTGAGCTCGCCAGAACCAACTCTTGAGGGAGTCTATTCCACATTTTCACAGCTTTCACTGTGAAGAAACCTTTCCGTGTTTGGAGATTAAATTTCTTTTCCTCCAGACGTGAAGAGTGCCCCCTTGTCCTCTGTGATGACCTCAGGGTGAATAGCCCTACACCGGGTTCACTATATGAACCACTGATGTATTTATACATGTTGATCATATCCCCCCTTAATCTCCTCTTCTCAAGAGAGAATAAATTCAGTTCCTCTAATCTTTCCTCATAGCTGAGCTCCTCCATGCCTCTTATCAGTTTGGTTGCCCTTCTCTGTACTTTCTCCAGTTCCCCAATGTTCTTTTTGTGGATTGGTGCCCAAAACTAAACTGCATATTCCAGATGAGGTCTTACTAATGATTTGTACCGGGGGAAATGATATCTCTCTCTCTGGAGTCTATATCTCTTTTAATAAAAGAGAGGATTTTACTCGCTTTAGAAACCGCAGCTTGGCATTGCATGCCATTATTAAGCTTGTGATCTACCAGAACTCCCAGATCCTTCTCCACCATTGATTGCCCCAGTTGTACCCCCCTAGTATGTATGATGCATATATATTCTTAGCCCCCAAGTGCATAACCTTACATTTATCAACATTAAACCTCATTTTCCACATAGTTGCCCAATTACACAGTGCATTGAGGTCGGCTTGTAAGTTGAAGACCTCTTGTAAGGACGTTATTCCACTGCACAGCTTGGTGTCATCTGCAAAGACTGAAATGGGATTTTTAATCCCAGACCTTATATCGTTTATAAATATATTAAAAAGTAAGGATCCCAACACTGAACCTTGGGGTACACCACTGATGACCCTAGACCATTCAGAGTATGAATCATTAACCACTACTCTCTGAATACGATCTTTTAGCCAGTTTTCTATCCATTTACATTCAGATTTTTCCAAGCCTGTATACTTTACCTTACACATTAGCCGTGTGTGGGGAACTGTGTCAAACACTTTTGCAAAATCCAAGTATACCACATCCACAGCCACCCCTCTGTCCAAGGTTTTGCTCACCTCCTCATAAAAAGAAATCAGATTTGTTTGACAACTTCTGTCTTTCATGAATCCATGCTGTCTGTTGCTTAAAATATTTTTTTCCAGCAAGAACTCATCTATGTGGTCTTTTATTAAACTCTCCAGGTCTATAATTACTTGGTAAAGATTTTGACACCTTTTTAAATATTGGCACCACATTGGCCTTACGCCTATCCAGTGGTACTATGCCAGTCATTAAAGAGTCCCTAAAAATTAGAAACAATGGCTTTGAAATGACAGAGCTTAATTCTTTAAGGACCCGTGGGTGTATGCCATCTGGTCCAGGTGCTTTTTTCACCTTTATACTGTCTAAATATTTTTGGATCATATCAATTGTGAGCCAATCTCTGATCATCTCCCGTAGTACACCTACAGTCTCTAGTTATCTCCTGTAGTATGTCCGCAGTCTCTGGTCATCTCCTGTACTATGTCCGCAGTCTTTGGTCATCTCCTGTAATATGTCTGCAGTCTCTGGTCATATCCTGCAATATGTCTGTAGTCTCTGGTCATCTCCTGTAGTACATCTGCAGTCTCTGGTCATCCCTGTAGTACATCCACAGTCTCTGGCCATCTCCTGTAGTATATCTGCAGTCTCTGGCCATCTCCTGTAGTATATCCGCAGTCTCTGGTCATCTTCTGTAGTACATTTGCAGTCTCTGGTCATCTCCTGTAGTACATCCACAGTCTCTGGTCATCTCCTGTAGTATATCTGCAGTCTCTGGTCATTTCCTGTAGTACAGTTGCAAGAAAAAGTATGTGAACCCCTTGGGATTACGTGGAGTTTTGCATGAATTGGGCATAAAATGTGCTCTGAACGTCATCTAAGTCACAACAATAGAAGAACACACTCTGCTGAACATAATACTACACAAACATTAGATGTTGCCATGGTTTAATTCCACATAACGTAAACATTCACAGTGCTGGGAGGAAAAAGTATGTGAACCTTTGGACTTAATAACTGGTTGACCCTCCTTTGGCAGCAATAACCTCAACCAAACGTTTCCTGTAGTTGCAGATCAGACCTGCACAATGATCTGGAGTAATTTTGGACCACTCCTCTTCACAAAACTATTTCAGTGTAGCAATATTCTTGGAGATGTCTGGTGTGAATCGCTCTCTTAAGGTCATGCCACAGCATTTCAATCGGGTTGAGGTCAGGACTCTGACTGGGCCACTCCAGAAGGTGTATTCTGTGCTGTTGCAGCCATTGTGTTGTTGAATTACTTGTATGCTTTGGGTCATTATTCTGTTGCATCACCCATCCTCTGCGGAGCTTCAGTTGGCGGACAGATGGTCGTACGTTTTCCTGCAAAATGGCTTGATAAACACTGGAGTTCATTTTCCCATCAATGACAACAATCCGTCCAGGCCCTGAGGCAGCAAAGCAGCCCCAAACCATGATGCTCCCTCCGCCATGTTTTACAGTGGGGATGAGGTTTTGATGTTGGTGTGCTGTGCCTTTTTTTCTCCACACATAGTGTTTTGTGTTCTTCCCAAACAACTCAATCTTGGTTTCATCTGTCCACAGTATATTTTGCCAGTAGTGCTGTGGAACATCCAGGTGCTCTTTTGCAAACTTCAAACATGCTGCAATATTCTTTTTGGACAGCAATGGCTTCCTCCGTGGTGTCCTCCCATGTACTCCATTCTTGTTTAATGTTTTCCTTATTGTAGATGTGTCAACAAAAATGTTAACATGTGCCAGAGATTTCTGTAGGTCTTTAGCTGACACTCTGGGATTCTTCTTTACCTCATGCAGCATTCTGCGCTGTGCTCTTGCAGTCATTTTTACAGGACGACCATGCCTAGGGAGAGTAGCAACAGTGCTAAACTTTCTCCATTTGTAGACAGTCTGTCTTACCGTGGACACATGAACATCAAGGCTTTTGGAGATACTTTTGTAACCCTTTCCAGCTTCATGCAAGTCAACAATTCTTGATCGTAGGTCTTCTGAGAGCTCTTTTCTGCGAGGCATGGTTCACATCAGACAGTGCTTCTTGAAACCAGTAAACCCAACCCCACCACCAAAACAGGTGTGTGTTTTTTAAGGGCAGGACAGCTGTCAGCAACACATCCAATATCATCACACTGATTGGAGTCAAGGTTGGCTCACTCCTGGCTCCAATTAGCTCTGGGAGAAGTCATTAAGCTAGGGCCTCACATACTTTTTCCGCCCTGCACTGTGAATGTTTACATGTTATGTGTAATTAAACCATGGCAACATCTAATGTTTGTGTAGTATTATGTTCAGCAGACTGTGTTCTTCTATTGTTGTGACTTAGATGACGTTCAGAGCACATTTTATGCCCAGTTCATGCAAAACTCCACATAATCCCAAGGGGTTCACATACTTTTTCTTGCAACTGTATGTATGCAGTTTCTGGTCATCACCTATAGTATGTCTGCAGTCTCTGATCATCTACTGTAGTATATCCGCAGTCTCTGATCATCCCCTGTAGTACACCTGCAGTCTCTGGTCATCTCCTGTAGTATGTCTGCAGTCTCTGGTCATCTATAGTGCATCCGCAGTCTCTGATCATCTCCCGTAGTACATCTGCAGTGCTTATTGAATGAGTAGTGACATCAGTGTCGCTGCTCGGAGTCACACAGCAGACCAGAGAGATCTCAGTATATTTAGGAGGAAAGGAGTGAGGGGGGCTGTGCTCTGGTCACAAAGTAAGCTTTTATGGCTAGAAGAAGACAATAAATATATACATTCTATAATAAATATTTGCATTGATATATTGTATATATCCCCCATTATCTTATCTGTGTATCCAGGCAATGACTATTGCCTGGAAAACAGATATGAAAATGGGGAATATATAAAAGGCATCAGTAAGTGCTATTTTATTTGTTGCTTGGCTATTGCACCAGTACCCCTGTATTACCACCACTACCCATGTAGTTACACCATTAGCTGTTTCTTGCCCACATATTGCCACTATATTGTCCATATAATGTCACAGTTGCTAGTGTGTTGTCCACATATTTCCATATTGCTCTCTATAAAGGCATGATTGGTACATTGTCCATTGTCCATATATTGTCCCATTGCCAGTGTGCTGCCCATGTTTTTTACCTATGTATTCTCACTGTTGACAGTTTGTTGATTCCATATTGCCACATATGCCTGCATATTGGTGCCATTGGGCTATCTGTGTGACTATGTGACCAAGTCAGCTGTTTGTTTTCGGGAACTATATTAATACCATTACTCAGTCCTGATTGGCCTGTCATTCTTTTCTATATTTCTCCTCATTCATAGGTAGGCCTTGCTTCACACAATATTGTGCTTGGAGGCCCCCTCTGTCCTGTCATTCAACAAATACCTGTTTTAAATAGTTTCATACACTCATAAAAGGACATGTTCATAATGAAGATCACCTCAAATTAACTGATAATAGTGGGTGTGGTGGCCTTTTGTGCCTTTGAGTAATAAACGTTTGAAGTACAAGTAAAATACACATTGACGCCAAGAAAAACCACTTAAAACAATTTTATTTTTCAGGCACAGAGATTGGGAATGAGTAGCAGGCACACCTGTCTGAAAATCTGCATATCTCTTCACAGGTGAAATATAAAGAATTATATCATATAGTTTATCATATCAAATACCATATTTAAGCTTTCCCAAATTCAAGTCTTCATCATATTAATAGATCATGGTGAAAAAAAATTTTGCATTCACGCTTGGTTTGGAGGATTCAAGTCTGGTGCACAGGATAAGTTTCTTTTTTCTTTGTTCAGCCCAGAGGGCTGAACAAAAAAAAAACAGCAGCTCTGGAGGAGGTCTCTGTACTAACTATATACTGTACTGGTTTTTCCAGCATGCTTATTTGACAGATCAGCTTCTGTCAAAGAAAGACCTGTACACACGGACCGAATTTCCGGTGTCTACTGTACAGGATGATTTCGGCTGATATTCGGCATGTGTGTACGGGGCTTTAGACACAAGCAAAGAATGGTGATGAGGGCACCACATGCATTTTTTTCCCCGTGCAAAGCATTTTAATAATCTTATGAAATAGTAAGGTATTTAAAAATACACAAAAAAAAAATTTAAAAATAACAAATATATTTTCCTTCTACTAAATCTATTCAAGTATGTATTTGTACCAAAGTACCTTCTCTTGCCCTCAGCCTTCTCCAAATCAAAGTTCCTTTTTTTTTTTTATTGCTGCTGTGATCTCACTTCCTGTTAGAGGGTGGCTACATTTGTGCTCCATGGTCCAACTGTATGTCTTGCTCACTCCCAACATAGATTAGGGATTATGTACTATGGGGTTTGGGAACTATTACAATTGTGGCTCATCGGTGCAGAAAGAATCTGATAAAAAATACAGCATTTTTCAGTTGTTACTAAAACAGGTGAAGTAAAGGCAAATCTCTGCACTTATATATATATATATATATATATATATATATATATATATATATATTAAAAAGTTCAGAAACGGTTTGAAGAATCCTCGTATAAACAAGATTACATAAATTTCAAGTGTCTCCATAATGTAAAAGTGTAAACTAACCTTTAAGGTAATGTTAAGCCTTAACGGTCTCCTAAAAAAGTACCCATTTCATCCTAAAAAAGAAAAGTGATAGCTTATACCTACAGTAAGCTCCCTTAGTAAATGTAACTGACTGCTCAGCACCACCTAAATATGAGTCCCCGAGAATTTTATGGCAGTGATCATATGATCAAAAGCCAGAAGGATAAAGAATTATTACAAGGAAGTATATTTACAAGTAGCATTGACCATTGTTTATAAATGGCTGGTCACATTACACATTCTCAGAAATATAGAAAGGGTAACATATGTTGATTAAAATTATTAAAGAACTTGTTTTTTATAAATATTAACCCAGTCATGACCATGTCCCAAATTCAGCTATTTAATTAATTCAGTACCATGGACAGTGATTGGAAAACATCAACGTCTTCAAATGAGTGCATATACGCATTAAAATCTAAACACAACAGATCACTTTGAACTCAGCCATGCCTATTCAATAAATTAAAACAAACAGCAATGACAAAGTATAGTACTTCATAGCAACCAATCACAAATGGCATTGCACTGCTCAGTATTGTGATTAACATGCATTTACGATGATAGATGTATTTGGGAGAGTAAATGATGATCATCCCAACATGGACAAAAAACCTAACTGAGGTTCTAACCCTTTTCTACTCTATCCAAAAAGAAAAATTTGTGTGACCCATATAACATGCTACCAGTTTTCATAAAAAAAAACCTTGTGTGAAAAAATTATCTGAGTTGTCTGTTTGTTACAGCTAAATGAAACCAGGCAAATTCACTTGCCTGGATTCTTCTGCATTAGCTGCACATTTTTCACCATTGGCCAGTATTTAGGAAGCTGGAGGGCAAGTGCAAATGAACATGATGCATAAAGTGCTTTCAGGGAAATGGTTTGTCAACAAATCTATGGCAGTTCTTCTGTAAATCTGACATTTACTGCTTTATAAATAGACCTTTTATTGTTTGAAGTCCTTGTGTCTCTAGCAGCCAAACGCATATGAAAAAAGTACAAATAAAATTGTGGGGCTCTGTTTAGCCAACACTCCTCTAGTTGTCAATGGTGAAAGCAGGCACAGATACACAGTCTCTTCCCCTGACTTCCAATGGTCTTAAAGCAAAGCATACACAGAAAACAAAATTATACTGGCAGTAGATGAGTTGAGTTTTCGGTAGAAAAAAAATATGAATGCCAAAGAAATATTTGAAAAAGGGAGAAAAGTCACAATATTCAAACAATAAAGACCTCCCATGGGACTTTAAATGGCATAAAGAACAAAATATGCATACGCAAAGATTACTGTGAATTTTATTTTATGCAACAGTAAAACCAGGTTACATAAAAATCACATGCTAGGCATACATAATAAAAAAGAAGAGCAAAACCCATATACGACTGGTGGGGACTAGATCACAATCCACCCCACAAAAGAATTTCTTCAAGTAATGGGTCCCAGTCAGAAAATTCCAACGTGTTTTAATTTAATTGCCATATAAATAGTCTTCAGGGAAAGGGTTTATTCTATAAAGAAATGTATTTAACATTTTAGGATTGATTTATTCATAACGTAATGCAGCTGATTAAGGACCAGAACATCAACACATTCAATAGGTTAAATAGCTTAAAAATAGATACTATAAATCTGGGGTCACAGGTCTACAAAAATAATCCAGGACAGCATATACACATGCAAGGGACCACAGAAATGCCCAAGACCAGCCCAGGGGGACAGAAGCACAGGTGGCCTGAAACGTATAAGTATGCTATTTAGATGTACTCATACATCTAAATTAAGACTTAAGCCCAATATGAGCCCCAAAAATAAAGTAGATTGTAACAAATGATGTTAGTACATAAATAAAAGCAGCAAATAGAGGTCATTAATGGACCTCAAGTGTCCAAGAGGGAGTTATTTGCCAACTGCAGTCTGTGTAAAAAAAACTAATACTAGCATTTAGAAAAATCTAAGATAAATGAAACAGAAAATTTCATCAGAACGAATATTAACCACCTCAGTTAGCATGACCCTATGTTAGTTAAAAACTCCCATGATAAAGTGAAATCTATTAACTTACATGGACTGTTCTGTTGGTCTCACACCAGGGATGAGTCATGTGCTGCTGCTTGAGAATTGCCAAAAAAGCATGTATGGTTTCCAGGGAAACGCCCTTAAATCTGTGACTAGAATATGTTCCCCCACTTAATAAAAGAGATGATATCCAATAGGGCCAGCCAGGTCATGAAGCACCACTGACTGACAGTCAAGATGGCACCATCTTAATGGTCCCCCTGACATCTCCCTAATGGGTACATGTGCTGTAAATTGCGGCACTCATGCGCAATGAATTTCTGCCCCCCGTGAACTTTGAGGAGCTGTTGGCAAAATAGCACATCTCCCACCCAACTTGGGGGATACAGACCATTTATCCACAAAAATGGCAACATGAAAAGCAGCCACTATGTGGGAATGCCCTCATGCTTAAAAGGGGAACACCATCCTGCACCTCACAAAGGAATAGCTGGAAGGGTCCCCCACATTTCGGGCAGGGCAATACGTTAGTCCAGCAAATGTCGGCACAAATGAACTCCAGAAAGGATGCATCTGTAATCCCAAAGTATCATTTTTTCTGGTTGACGTAAATTATAGTATTGGGTTTTTGCTGTGGTCTTTGCGTTGGGGATATTTTCTTTCACTTTCTGTGTGCTCCCTGGAACAAAAGATGAGGAGATGATGTGAAATCACACATTTTTTCTAACTTCTTGTGTGATCATAGGGACCTGAGGTGAGGGTAGATCTCCTCAGCAGGTGTACAGACAGTAAAGACAAACCTGACAGGTTTAGACCTTTCCACACTCTGCCCAAAACTGGGGTTGGGCTTTAAAGACTTGTATGATGAGCTTCTATAGA